TAAATCTGGTACACATTTAACTGCTTTAATGGATTTTGTTACGTTAAAAATCAAACTGCTAATCATTTTTGCTAAATGGACACTTTCAGCTACTTGACAGAGACGAGTTCAAGTGTATAGAGAAAATCAAAACGATCTCAACGACTTATATGGCAGCTAGTGGTCTTGCTGGAAAGGTACTCCTGATTCTATTCCTACATAATCTAGGACGAAAAAAAATTCGGTTTCATGAAAAAAGTCATAAATGAATGAAGTGGCTTCCAGATCGAAGGCAACTCACATGTCGTGGCTGTAGCCAACTTTGCTCTGCAACTACTTGCCAAAATTCAAGTCATCAACGAGCACAGCTTTAACAATTTCGATCTTCGAATAGGTTGGTTTTAATCGTATGGTTTTTTCCTACATGCCGTAGTTGCAGAGCTTAGCGACGCGTGTGGCATGGGACAGCATCAAGAAGCGTATTTGAAGTGGATTTCTCGTCGATCATTTGCGATTGCGGCATGTCCTACAGCGAGAACAATGCGCTCTCTTCAAGGTCTTGATGGGGGAGGGGGTATTTTCTTCAATTTTCTTTTCTGTGCGGTGTACGGTAGCCATGGAAGTCATCGCTCTAATCTAGAAGGAAGACAATGCAGGCATTTTCCACGACCAATATAACCAATATGCCAAAGAGGGCACTTCTGGCACTTTGTCCTTCAAACTTCAGAGAAGTTTGGCATGCACCCTTACTTCGCGGGTAGGGCATATAAATATTTACTTCACAATACACTTAAAGAGTGCGCGTTAACAGAGAGCCTATGGATAGAGTCGGTCATGGTCCGTGTTGAAACCCATACTCATTGAGCTGCCTCAATTCTCAGCGAATGTCTGGTGTGTGGCATATCCGTAAAATACTGAAAAATGTTTCCGTTCAAGAGACTCCTGTTAGCATAGCTCATTTTCTGCAGGAATCAACACTGGTCCAGTGGTTGCTGGTGTCATAGGACTGATGAAGCCTCATTACGACATCTGGGGTAATTCAGTGAATGTCGCTAGTCGTATGGATTCATCAGGAGTGCCGGGAAAAATACAGGTTCGGAATTCACTTTTTGACATTCTAATTTTGTGAGTGCTGTCAAATCCGCACTACCACTTGGGTTTCCACGTGGATATGGCTTTGTATTGGTTTCCATGCGTAAAATGTGGTGGCGAGAAATTGCATGCGAATGACATTTTTCACCATTAAACATTGATGAGGATGTCATGCATATTTTCTGTTTTCGCAATATTTGTTTATTGCCAATTATTGAATATGAAAAAATTGATTTTTCAAGCTTTGCGAAGACCTACTCATACTAAAACGAGATTACGTAGCAATTATAC